AAAAAAAAAACCTAATAAAAATATTTAATAATAAAATAATAAATTTTTTTCCAAATTTTTCAGACGTTACAATATATATATATCATAGGCCAACTATACAATGCAACATCCTTAGTTTCTTGGTGCCTTTTATTTTGTTTTTCTTTTTATTTTCTGTCACACTTAATATAAAACAATAATATTGACATAATGTTTCAGAATTTATTCAATGAAATTACATATGTATTTTTATATAATGTATATCAGACTAATTCATACTCTTAGCCTACAAATTGATGAAACTATATTTTTATGTATGTTTATTAATGAATAATTCAATTTATAGGAACTTTAATTTGAAGTTGAAGCTACTATACAGACTTCATTTATGTGATTATATAATATGTATTTATAGGAGATTGGTATTTAGGTGTATTTATAAATTATTATTCTTCAAATCATTATAAAGATTCAGTTTTATAGGGCTATTATTGAGATTTAAATTAATATTATTGTGCTAGCCAGCAAGGGAATGAGAAATTAACTAATATTATATATTTTTTGTCAATATTATCGTAACAAGAAATAATAATTACATATTAATAGAAATTAAAATTAAGATATGAATTAATTTAAATCAAATAAAATAATACATTACTAAATCATCAGTGTCACCGATTGTTTTGAATCGGGTCGGGTCAGCATGAGCTGAGAAAATATAAATCGGTGCGGGCTGCAGGCTACTTGCAAAGTCGATCAGAAGGGAAAAGCGGACGGCAGAATTCTTTATCTACATCAGTTTTCTCTGTTCTTCATCCGGTTCTGTTCGAACACGATTCTCTGTTATTGCATCGTTTATTTTGGAAATTCTTCTTGTTCGTCCTTAAATTCACAGCTGAGATGGGTTACGAAGACAATCCGTAAGTTGTCTACTCCTCGCTTACTTTCTAGGGTTTTCGATTACTAGTTCCATATTTTGTGATTTGATGGCTATTTAGGGTTTTCGATTCTCAATTGGGTAACTCACAAGATTGTTTCTTTGCAGGTATATTGATGAAGAAGGAGAGGCATTAATGGACTATGATGATATGCCATCGGATCGCGAGCCATCGCCAGAGCCTCGCCATGGAATGGACAATATGGAGGACGATGTCGATGACTGGGACACGCGCGATCGATCCCAGACGCCCGTTTATGACACAGACAAAGTCAAGCCGAGGAAAAGATTGGTCAAGAAGGGCGCGGCTGCGGGGAAAGAAAGTACTGTGGTTCCGGAATTGGTTGACGAGGATGACGAAGATTTTGGGAGGGAGGCCTTCCTGTCAGATATTAAGAAGAGCAACAGAGGGAAGGAAGGAGGTGGGAGCGGGAAGAAGGAGAAGAAACAGAAGTGGGAGAAGAAATATCCCTGCCGTGGTGCTGGTGGTGAGAAGAAGTCGGCAGAGATTGAAGAATTGTGGGATTCTATTGCCCACAATCCAGAGGTATCTTTTTACTAGTCTCTTTTTATGCCTTATTGGTCATTTATATCGAGTTTTATTTTCTGAAGAACTGAAAAGAACTTGTTTGATCTTTGATTTTTGGAAATTGGTATGTATATACTTCGAAATTAGGATTCTTGATGCTTC